ACTACTATTGCTATTACTACTACTACGACGACTACTATTACGACGGTGACAAATCACCCCAACTGCTACCAGCAAGTCTGCCACGAGTGCCATTTCTTTGGTTAGGACATTTTCAACTGCAGTGGTATCATTGCCATGGCTAATCCGTTAATACCGTTGTTGGCATTAGCCGTCGTTGTAGCAACAGAAAGATGCTGGCGATGATGGCGATGATAAGTTCGACGATGCTGATGGTTATGGTGATGGTAAAGAGATGTAAAGAGCAATAGTAGGAATAGGAGCAATGTTGTTACTCCGACATGTGATCGTAGCGGCTGAACTTGTGTGTCGTTTCTTTCATGTAGCCGTCGATACAGTGTGGCTTTTGGTTTGTCCTTGTTATTGGGAGCTTAGCAGCTGCAACTCCCATCTGAATCCTCATCAACATCGAAGTTCGCACCGTGGCTGCGAGGGAGGGACAGGCACTTGGCCCATCCCCCCGGAAATCGCAGGCATCCCTTAGACTGGCTGGCCAAAGGCTGCCATAGTGGATGAACCAGGGCAACAGCTGGCAGTTAACAAGGATGGAGTGGCATCTGCCGAGACCATGTTGCAAGTGTTCGCTTATTCACTGCACCTATCCATTCCTGGCTCCAGCACTTGAGTCAAATGGTGAACGTTGGGTTGAAATACCGCGCCGAGCATCACCTATTGATGAATCGAGTCCTCTCCTCGGGGGTTTTGGTTGGTTTCCAGAGCCCCTGGCCAAAATTAGTTATGGGACTAGACTTAGGATCGGTGCGAAGAACGTACAAAGAGTGCTGGAAATACTCAAACATCAATGGCTCCTGCAACTCCTCAAGGATACCCAGCTTCACCTCTTGTTCCTCAGAGAAAAGCACACAAAATCCTATTACGCTTTTCATCCGCAGCAAAACCTGTTTTCCCGCATGATACGTCGGACATAGAGACTCGACAGGACCAAGAGCCCTGCATTCAGGACCTGATTCTCTGAAGCGATCAGAGGGACCAGGGGAACCCTCCCCCGATGGAAGCACCGGGCTGCTACGCCAATGGATGTGCCCGGGATGCGTCGTGGTGGCGCTGCAGCGCATGCCGTGCCCTCATGCCCGCCTGCAGCCTTTGCCTGCTCTCCTGCCCGCACCATAGGGAGGGCCTCGAGCTACTGGAGGCAGAAGCTTGTCAAAAAACGCCATCCTCAAACCCAGCGCGTAAACCTAATAAGCTGTAGCGCAGGCCCAAGACCTAAGCCCTAAAGTTCAATTCCTACGAAGCCCTAACCGTACGAGTAAGAGTAAGACCCCTAAGCTGCAAAACTACGCTTTAGCATAAACCTAGGCCTCACTATCTCCGATCTCCCTACAGGTGCTGGACGTCAACAGGGCGCACGTCCGCCACCAGCTCCGGCGGGGCCTTAACTTGCTGCGACAGCAGCGAGTTGCACTCTGAGAGCAATTGGGGGTTTCCGGTGTTTGTGGTGCAACGCTCAGGCTTCCTTGTAAGCTCATGTTAGCCCCATTTGGGGCGGTTCGGGTTTCTCAACTATCGGGCTTCGGGTCAAAGAACAAATTCCCCGCATGCTGCATTGCGCTCATCCATCCAAGGTACTTTGCGACGACTACGTCGCCTTCGTTAAGGCACTGCCTTAGGCCCTGTCAGGGTTACGGCAACATGAGTGTGATAAGCTAGGGGGCTCAGGTTGTACCTTAACCCCATTAGGAATCCTAAAAAGGTAGGTTTCATAGGGTCCAGGTATAGCTTGCCTTCACATCGCTCTACGCTGAATAGTCTTGCGCCCTTCGGCCTCGGGTCAGAAACATCCGGCCATATTACATCCAAGACGGTCTGCAAAAGCGGAGGCCAACGGCTTCTGCAGGGACCACCTCGCTTGCGGCGCCGATGCGTCTGCAGGACAGGGGCTTACGGTTTAGAAGACTGGGGCGCGCATTTGCAGGATTGAGGGTTTATAGGAGTTCGGACTCCGGCTTGGCGATCGAGAGCACGCAATGCCGCAGTTGCATTCTCTGCACCTCTTGCAAACGCATGATCGCTGGTTAATTGAGGCCCTTCTGTCAGCCCTCCCAGAATCGCAGAGCGCGCAGTACTCGAACCTCCCCGCCTCATTCCCCCCTGCCTGGGCCTGGAATCAGTCGAGGATGCGGAGGGGGGGGGGGGAAATGTAAGGTTGANNNNAAACCCTAAACCCTAAAGGGCTTTGGAATTTAGGGTGGTGTTGTTTCAGGGTTTGCGGCTTTGGGGCTGGAAGCTTTTCTGGTGCTGTAGTGCCTAACTATCGAGTCTCAGTGGTGGGTTCAGATTTCCGCTGTTGACGGCTTGACATTGCAGGGTTCCGAGTTCAGGTTTCTTTGGGGGCTTCGAGGCTCTAGATTCTAGATGTTTCGGTTGTTGAGGGTTTGGGGCTTTGCTGCATTTCAGCTTCAGGTTCCAAAGCCTTCGAAGGTTACGGTTTTGTACCGGTTTGATGGCTCAGGGTTCGAGGGCTTGACAGGGTTAGGTCTGAGGGATCTGGAGTGGGGATCTGAACGTTTCAGGGTTCGGATTTAATATAGTGGCCTTAATAATTACCTCTACTATTCTGGGGGGTTCCTTAGTATGATTATAGTTTTTATCTACCCCAAAACCCACCCCAAAACCCTAAACTATGAAGGCCCCTACATTAGGTCGTCGTCAGGGCTTGAGGGTCTTGTTTGCGGCATAGGGGTTGATTTTAACGGAGCTCCCACCTTCAACAACAGAAGGGCGAGTGTACAAGTTGAATACGCAGAAGACAGCTGCTGATATGCGCCACAGTAGTCAAGGAGTAGGCCCGCGTAGGGATTTTTGTACTAAGGCTTGTTCCCTACCAGGTAACCTCGCATTATCATACTGTCTTTCTCGTGCCCGACATCCCCAAACTCAGGAGCCCTGATGGCCCTTGAAGTTCTATGATTCTATGCTTTTCTGGCCGTATACGGCAGCTGCCAGCGAGGACCCCGCCAAAGTGGCTTGGGCTTGGCTTTCACTGGTGCTAGCCGAATCTTCTGCGGAAGATGAGGCAGCAGGGAGGGAAGGCTTTTTGATAAGGCGGAACGTCAGAAGAGCACGATGACACAGGTTAGAACGGTGATGCTGTGTGCCGAATCCCACGGCGCCACGCCGCGGCGACATTTGGGCCTTTGGCTCCACGAGGCCTCCAGGGGTTGTCGATTTTCGGATGGTTCGGGCTTCGCGACTTGAGGAGTCTCGCCTTCCGGCCATAGTAGGATGTAGCAGTTTAGGGTTCAGGCTGTGTGCGTTGTGAGTGGTTCAGAGATTATGCATTTTCGGGGTTGGGAGTTCATGTTTGACGGGTTGGAGGATTTGAGGTTTAAGACTTCCTCCTCCTCCTGCTGCTCCTAGTGTTACAACTACAACTACTAATTACTCCTACCTGCTACTACTACTTCTGCTTCTACTTCTACTTCTACTACTAGTACTACTACCACCACCACTACCACTACCACGACCACTACCACGACCACTACCAATAACACTACCACTACCGCCACCACCAACAACAACACCTTGAGAACATAAGCTCCTTGCCCCAACGTCTGAACTTGTCGTTCACGTCCTGCGGCCTGAATGTGTCGACTTGAGCTTGGAAGCACAACCGCAAACCCCATAACCCTATAAGAACCTCCAGCCTTAAGCCTAAACCCGAAAGCGTCTTAAACCAAGAAGGAGTCAAAATGCCAAATCGGAGGGACTTAGTCCACAAGAGGCCTCATCCAGGGAGAGCGCCACGCTTCCCGGAGCCGCACGGCGGCGATATGTCGACGTTTGGCTCCACGGACTTTCCTGGGAGTGTGGATTTTCGGATAGTTTGGGCTTGGGGGGCTTGAGGGCTTTAGGGTCTCGATTCGTTGGGGAGTTTGAGTGTTTGAGGTTCGGCAGTTTGGGCCAGAAGGTTTTAGTTTTTAAGGTACGGGGTTGGTAGATTCGAGTTTGGGGCTTCAGGTTTTCGGGGTTTTGGGGTTTCTTACAGGCTCCAAGAGTTGGGGCCCGAGTGGTGATCCAGCCAAAGCTAGCTTTAGCAAAAGCGAAACCCTTGACCTCCCCCAAAAACCTAGTCAGATCAAAGCCCACGCATCCCAAAGGCTGCAAGCGGCTCCCCGCAGACTGCAGCCTACAGTAGCAGCTTCCGTCTCGGTGTAAGCCCTAGGCCCAAAGTAACTGCAAGCCCCAAGCGCCGCAGAGACAGCGGTTGCCTCAGTCTTAGCCGGATGTTCGAGCAGTCCAACATAGGACGACCATTGTGCCCAATGCTGCTCCTGTCGAGACAACACGTTCGCCTCGCGAGCAACGATAGTCCTGTCATCGACATGAACGGTCGTTTGGACGGTTCGGGGAGCCTGCTCCAAGTTACGAACAGAAAGAAGGCAAGCCTGAGCCTTCAGAGCCATGATCAATGGCCCAAGGGGGTCTCCTTGTGGTTCCACTCCCGCGATAAGAGGCTCAGCATGACAATGGTTCTGAAACTGCACATACTTGCAGGGTGTGGGGTTGCGTCCGGGACTCGGAAAGGTGGTGGGGGCGCAGGATTTCTGGAGTCTTAGGTTCGATGGTTCACTACAAATTACGCAACTTGAATCCCTTCTGAAAGCCACCGTGAGAACATAAGTTCCTTGCCCCAAACTCTGCATGACTGAATCTCGCTGTTCAATTCCTGCGGCCTGAATGTGTCGACTTGAGCTTGGAAGCACAACCGCAAACCCCATGTAGCCCTCAAAACCCTAAGAACCTCCAGCCCTAAGCCTAAACCCGAAAGCGTCTTAAACCAAGAAGGAGTCAGAATCCCAAATCGGAGGGATTTAGTCCACAAGAGGCCTCTTCCCAAGACAGCGCTGCACTCCTTGCGGTGGCTGGTGACGCACGGCGGCGACATTTGGGCCTTTGGCTCCGCGAGGTTTCCAGGGAGTGGATTTTCGGATGGTTCGGGCTTTGGGGGTTTTAGGGCTTTATAGATTTGAGTTTGGGGCTTCTGGTTTTTCGGGGTGTTAGGTTGCGGGGCGTGGCTTAGCTTTACTCGGGTTCAATGTGTTGGGTTTAGGATGCAGTGTTGTTTTGGAGTTGGGGCTTCCATTGCTGAAAACCCTAAACCCTAAACCCTAAACCCTAAACCTTAAACCCTAAACCCTATAAACCCTAAACAGTTTGAGCGCTCATGAGTCGGAAAGGCGCGCCCAACTTGAATCCCAAGCATTTCCTGCCCTGTTCCCTTCTGAAAGCCACCGTGGGAACATAAGTTCCCCGCCCCCGACTCTTCATGGCTGAGGAGAATACATCTCCAAACCCGAGCAGCTGTGCCTTGCGGCCCGAAGAACCGAAAGCTTGAACATCTGAGCATTGAAACCCTGATGTCCAGTTGCCCTATCGACCTAGCAGGCCAGAGGTCCTAGTGGCCTCAAAACAGACTAAAGTTGAAGGCCCCGAAGTAAATCCTCAAGTTTGCCAGCGCGAGGGCGAGAGAGTGGTGTTACCCTCTCCCAGCCTCCTGCAGCAGGCCATATTGGCCTTTCAGTGGGCGCAGCAGGCACTTTGAAGGGAAGGCGTTGGGCAACGTAGACATTTCGAAAACGAGGCCAAGGGGCGAGTCAGCGTAAGAGGTTGCCAGAACGGCTTGGTGATTCAGCTTCAGGGCTTTCGCCTTCAGCCCGTAATCCGAAGGCCCTTGGCTCTAGAAGTCTAGGGCACCGAGAAATGGCGACGAAAGCTCGAAGACCTCATGCAGCAGCAAAGGCATAAGAGCGCCAATGAACAAAAGTAGAAACGTGACATTTCATCAGTCAGGTCCTAAAAGCTTATGCTCGACACTCGCAACCCAAAAGGTAACGGGCTTGAACTCCGTGTTTTGTTGTTTCCATAGACTTGTCCTGCACTTGTGTTAGCTGAAGCCAGAGGGCCTTAAAACGGAATCTGCACTTCTGTTATCTCATTTCTTCTGCTTATGCCAGCTTGTTGTTTCCAAGGTCTTCGCTAGTACGTGTGCTGACATCGGCGTGATTCTTCTGGTTGTCGTTGTCGTTCGTACTATGTCCGGGTCTTGTGTTGCTTGACGCAAAATTGCAGCGGTGCGCAACGCTGCCAGCCGGTGAGATTTTGCTTCGATCATGCGGCATGCGGGCGCTGGGCCTTACTCGAAGCTCCGCCAAACTTGCACCACCTCCCCTAAACATTTGTCTTCAAACCAAAGCTTCGAGCCTAAATCTGCAATGTGTTTTGGGAGGAAAGGTCGCACCTGACTTGGGGTGGGCCTCAAGCTCGAGAGCCAGCAGAAAGCAAGTCATCGTCGTTCTTCCAAACATGGGATCTCGACGAGAGCAACCGCCTGCTGTTTTCAGCCATGCCATCTCAAGTGTGTGGGCTGCCACAGCCATCCCAAACCCTCAACCAAAAACACATCCGAAATCCTAAACCATGGCAGGCACTGCAGGGCAGGGCGGCTGCGACCCCGGCCTTGCCCCAGGCGGCTCTGGGATGCGGGTTTCTCCTCAGTTTTGCTTGCACGGAAGTAAACGGCTTTGGTGCTACTATCTTGAGATATTGCGATTGGGGGCAGCACCGCTGGGGTATTCACACCTCACAGCGGTTCGACTGCAAGACTCTGCAGAAGCCGACCCGCCTACAATGGGCTACAAGACTCCATCACTACGTGTCCTGCGAACTTTGAAAGCGACTCTACAGCTCTCAAGCAATGCGGTATCCTTCACGTAAAGGTTTGGGGGATTGAGCTTCAGGGTCCCACACTGGAGCCCGAAGCCCCTCCACGTGGTTGTCGGGCTTTAGGGCTTTAGATTTCTGTGGCTTTAGAGTCTTCTTGTGTTTAAGAGCTTACGGCTTCCGGGCCTGCTTTATGTATTACTCTGAATCAGGCAAAAACATTGCCATATGCGTGCGGCACACACCTTCGACAAAAGGAGCAAAAAGAGGATGAGGACGCAAGCTCAATACGCCGAAGACAGAACGTAGGAGAACGCTGGACCAGAGGTTCTAGGCTGAGGGGAAGGATTCAGGGTTCCCACGATAGAGCCGTACATAGGTTTCCCACCGGAAGGTATTTTGGGCGGCGGACCGTCATGGACGCCAGATCTTCCGGCTCCTCAGAGCCCTGGCTGCCTTGCATGCTTCGTCTTCTGCGCGGCACTCGTGTGGTGCGCGGCAGGCAGCAGGGAGGAAGGGTGTGAATCAGGTGGAACGTCGCTCGACGAAGGATAGAACTAGAAGAGTGATGCAGTTCACAGAATCGCAGACTCATCAACTGCGAGGCGGAGTTCAGGGTTTCACAAATCCTAGGCCCAAACACCAACACTTTTTGCCGAAGACGGGAAGCCTTCAAGCCACCAGCATAAAGTTCTGTTGGGAGGCACTTGGCCCAGTCACTGCTCTTTCTGCCCCCGGCACTAAAGGCTAGGTTCCAGTATCAGTGCCGATTAAAGCCCGAAGGCCTTCCGCATACACCCCCCCAAAACTCAAAACCATAGCAGTGCCAACGAAAAAATGACAGACCTGCCGTTTCATCAGTCGCTTTCTGCAAGCTCATCTAGGTAAAGTTAGCTGAAACCAACGGGCCTTAAAGCTGAATCTGTAATTCGGTTATCTTCTGTTTATACCAGCCTGTTCTTTCCAAGGTCATCGCTAATGTGTGTGTGCTGACATCGGCGTGATTTTTCTGGCTGTCGTTGTAGTTCGTATTATCACCGGGTCTTGTTTTGCTTGACACTATATTGTAGCGGTGTGCAACGCTGCCAGCCGGTGAGATTTTCCTTTCGATCATGCGGCATGCGGGCGCCGGTCCTTACTGTAAGCTCCGCCAAACTTGCACCACCTCCCCTAAACATCTGTCTTCAAACCAAAGCTTCGAGCCTAAATCTGCAATGTGTTTTGGGAGGAAAGGTCGCACCTGACTTGGGGTGGGCCTCAAGCTCGAGAGCCAGGAAAAAGCAAGTCATCGTCGATCTTCCAAACATGGGATCTCGACGAGAGCAACCGCCTGCTGTTATCAACCATTCCATCTCAGCTGTGTGGGCTGCCACAGCCATCCCAAACCCTCAACCGAAAAACACATCCGAAATCCTAAACCATGGCAGGCACTGCAGGGCCCGGCGGCTGCGACCCCGGCCTTGCTCCAGGCGGCTCTGGGATGCGGGTTTCTCCTCAGTTTTCCGGGCAACATGGTGCTACTATCTTGAGATATTGCGATTGGGGGCAGCACCGCTGGGGTATTCACACCTCACAGCGGTTCAACTGCAAGACTCTGCAGAAGCCGACCCGCCTACAAGACTCCATCACTATGTGTACTGCAAACTTTGAAAGCGACTCTACAGCTCTCAAGCCAAGCGGTATCCTTCAGGTACAGGTTTGTGGATTGAGCTTCAGGGTCTCACAAGCCTTTTGGAGCATAGCAATACCGACTGGAGCCCGACGCCCCTCCACATGGACCGCCACACCCATTACAAAGCCTTGCAAAGCCCAAGAGGCCCAAGAGCGAAGGTCTAAACCTGCCATCACAGAAGTCACAGCAAGACGCGGGTTTGTCGTGTTAGGGCTTGAGGGGGTTTGGTCTTTAGGGGTCTGGTGCCAGGATCTGAAAGTTTCAGGGGTCTGGGGGCTGGCGTGGTTCAGGTCTTCGGGGTTACAGTTTTTTGATTCTGGCGTTTAAGAGATTGCCGCTCGAGGGCTTTAGTTTATTGATCAAGATTTGGCCTGCTTGCTTGCGCTCAAGGTTCCCCACCAAGTCACGGTACATGGGCTGCACACCCGAAAGCTGCCCTAGGTGGTTTTGTTTGTCGAAAGTGTTCCCGTGAAATCCGAAGAAGCAGGTCCGCGCCATGGTGCCCTTGGCAGCAGCTTGGCCCAGAGCAAACGAGGCTTTCAGATGTGCGTCAGCAAGTAGTATAGGGGCCTGAATAATTGGAACAGGGTTTGGGGGTTCCTTATCATAAGTATAGTACAATATACCCCAAAACCCTGTTCTAATTATTAAGGCCCCTATAGTAGGAGTATCTATCCGAACAGCTGCACAGTTCAGTCGCTTATTCTCAGTGATTGAAAGTTCAACCCTTACGACGCACGTCATGAGTGCCCGGACCAATACTGGGCATTCTGCCCCACACCGGTGAGACCCTGTAGGCCCGCGGTCCTACTGACTTCAAAACAGCCTGAAGGCCCGAGGTAAATCCTCAAGTTGCCAGCGCGAGGCCGTGAGAGCGGTGTTACCCTCTCCCGGCCTCCTGCTGCTGGCCATGCTGGCCGACGGCCTGGGCCGATCTGCGGTGGAGGTAGGATGGCAGCTGTCGGGTTCAGGTAGAGATTGCCAAAACGGTTCGGGGATGGAGCTTCAGGGTTTTACAATAGGGTTTAGGGTTTAGGGTATCCCTTAACCGTAAAAGACACCACCTCCAAGGCCATTGGCTTTGGAACCTTTGGGTGCATAGAAATGCCGACTTATCAGGGTTTTCGAGGTTTCGATGATGGGGTGTCCAGGATCCAGAGGCGAGGGCCTTAGATTAGATCATAAGCCCAAGATTGCACTTGAGGGAGCCTGAGCCCAACTCTTCAAGGTTTGAGGCTGGCACAGGAGCAGAAGTTGCTCTCCCTGCTCATGGCCTCAAGCTGTGGATAGAATCAATGGCCGTGGTGTGTCCCAATCCCGAGCAGCCCTCATGCCCCAAAGTATCTACATATCTTAATTGAAGTTTTGGGCGCCCCTTACATGACCCGTGGCCCCGCAGCCTTAACCTCAAGCAGCAAGCGCGCTTCCCCTAGACTGCGGCTGGTGATGCGCGGCCCAGCCGGCTTCTAGCGGGGCGCCAGGCGGGAAAGCTTTTCATAAGGCAGAGTGCTAGAATCTAGAAGAAGATGATGACGAAGGTTGGAGCCTATCATACAACAGCAGAGTTGTCAGCTGCAAGAATCCGCGACTGTCGTCCCAACCCTAAACCCTCCACCTTGAGCCTAATCAAGCCTAGGGAAAGGAACCAAAAGCCTCAAAGCAAGGGTGAGTTGTTGAGGCATCGGGCTTCGGGGCTTCGGTATCATCATGGTGCACGGATCTAGACTTCAAGCCTTTGGGCTAATCCCTAAAGGTGCCACTTGCTCGAGGGTAGGCTTGTTGACTCTCCAACACGCAGGCCCTCCCCGCGAACCCTCGACCACTTGAGTAACAGCAAGACTAAGAACAGTGCTGGCTCCAATGCTTGCCAGGCGGCGGCAGTCTCAATGCTAGGTGTTCAGACCAAGCCAGGGAGCTTTCGATGATGATGTCCAGGAACTAGAGGCAAGGGCGTTAGATTAGATCATAAGCCCACGAGTGCACTAAAGAGAGCCTGAGCCCAACTCTTCGAGCTTTGGGGCTGTCACGCTTAAAGTTGTAGAACGGGAGAGCCGAGGTTGCTCTCGCTGCTCAAGGCCTCAAGCTGAGGGCAGAGTCAATGGCCGTGGTAGGGTCCAAACCCGAGCAGCTGTAATCTGCTGAAAGCATTTACTGAATTTACTGAACCGAAGCTTTTGGCCCCCTTCACCTTACACGACCCG